TAGACATACTATGTTTTCCCCCCAGGAAATTTTTAAGGCTCTAATCATTAGACTCTTTGTCCAACTGAGTTTTCTGAGCTATTCGTATGGAATTGAGTCACCAACAACTACTACATTTCATTAAATCTGAGACGCCATAAATTATAAGAAATACCATCTTCAGTAATATGGTCAGTTATTGGAGAAAAAGAAAGAAAAACCATCATTTTATGTGCCAATAGGAAGAAAATGTTGGCTACTAAACTATGACACACTATCATTTGAAAGGGGCATCCCAATTTCAAAATGAATAACAGTGGGAAACTGTGGCAGAACATAGTCTATAGCAGGTACTGTGTAAATAATCATTGCCCAATTCCTGATGTACAGAATGTGAGAGTGCTCCCCTCTGCTACAGTAACCTCCAGATTCAAAAGGAAAAAGAAAATATACCTTAAATGTGGTGAATGGTGCTTGTTTTTATAACAGAGATGAAGACCCAAAGAAATAAGATTTTCTAAAAGTTTTTTTCAAGTTATCTAGTCAGTGTCTAAAAGCTTGGCACTGAGAGCAGAGCATGTAAACTTCTTGCTTTAGGGAAGCAAAAATATAAAGGGGTTCTAGCCTGCAGATGTTTCTAATAGACTCCTAATGATTTACTCTTCTAAGGAAATTATATTTGATATCAGTGCTTATCAAACTTAAATGTGCATACAAATCATCTGGGGAGTCTTGTCAAAATTCAGGTTTTGATTCATTCGCTCCGAGGTATGATCTGAGATTCTGTGTTTCTGATGAGCTCCCAGGTGATGCTAACGCTGTTGGCCCACTGACTTTGAGTAGTAAGACTTTTAGCCAGGTGTGGTGGCTCACACCTGTAATCCTAGCACTTTGGGAGGTTGAGGTGGGCGGATGATGAGGTCAAGAGATGGAGACCATCCTGGCCAACATGGCGAAACCCTGTCTCTACCAACAAATACAAAAATTAGCTGGGCGTGGTGGCACGTGCCTGTAGTCTGAGCTACTTGGGAGGCTGAGGCAGGATAACTGCTTGAACCCAGGAGGCAGAGACTGCAGTGAGCCGAGATTGTGCCACTACACTCCAGTCTGGTGCCTGGCGACAGAGCCAGACTCTGTTTCAAAAATAAAAAAAGACTTTTAATGTTTACAAAGCATTTTCATATATGCTACATAGCCGTATGAATTAGACTTTGTTGAGTTTTGATTATCCCCATTTTTGAAGATGAATTGAGGTCCATTTGAAACTCAAACCCCTGACTTTTATCTGTATCACATCATATGGAAGTTTTCAAACAAAACCTATGAAAGTAACCTAGCACTGGTTACCTAAAATAAATGCAGTGAAACCTAGAATAGCAAGTCATCTAGTTTCACGACCCAAATAGATGTATACTACTAATGTGTATACATTCTCTAGATCAAAAACCAGATACTCCCTACAGAACAAACAGAAAGACCGTCCCAAGATATTTTTTCTAAAGAATCTTTCTTCTGTGAGGCTAAGGTGGTCATTACCCTAATTGAAGTTTAGAGTGGTCTTCTCGTTTCCCTGCACACCATATACCAGCAAGGCAGAAATCATGATCTACTTTTTGGCTCGCTAGGCTTCCACCTATATGAAAAAGATCAGCTGGTATTCCGGACATCTTGGTCCTTAGATGGCAATCTCACCCGTGGGCCAAAAAATACAGTAATTACATCTGATTTTGTAACCACCCTGAACCATGGGGCAGGCACCTGTTCTACTCCAAGAATAAATAAAATAAAGGATACCAAAAAAAAAAAGATGTTGCTGATATTCTGAGTTCTCCTATTATTCTGAAAACTGATCTGAAGTTTGAGATTCCTATGTGGAATACTACCAAATATTTACAGCAAATGCTAAGAACAAAATATGGTTGTCAGATTCTTCTTATTGGCCTGAAAGTATTATTAGCACAGAAGCCAAAACCACTAAACTGAGACCATTTGTACAATCAAAATGAATTCAAGCTAGACAAAGAACTAAACAGCTTCAATCTAGCTGTAACTTGGAAACTTCACTGAAAATGATAAACCACTATACAGAGATTTATTTTAGTTCTGAATCAACTTTACCTGAAAAGTTAGTCTTCATTATCTGTTGCCAGTGTAAGAATGCCTTCTTAGTCACTTGCTTTAAGGTCTACAATCACTATACCATCAGAGACGGTGTTTTCAGCTCTCAGAGTTAAAGTGAGGCTTACTGGAGTTAATGTTGATATAGCTACCCCAAAAGTAAAAATACTTGGATGCCCTGACCCCATATACTATCAAGTATCTATAAGAAGCAGATACCCTATGTTCCTGGTTCTCTGAATTCAACACTTTAAATGACAGACTAGATTTTAAAAAGAAAAGGCTCACTTTCCTCAAGAAGAGGCATGCATACTTTGACAACCATAAAGTGATTCAGGCTTCCACAAAAAGAGCTTTGGTCAGATGTCATCCTGATGAAGAGGCAGAGAAAAGCCAGGTTATACATAAGATTAAGAGGATACAACCACAAACCTGATAACAAGTTCACTGGCCAGGCCCAGTGGCTCACACCTGTAATCCCAGCACTTTGGGAGGCCAAGCCAGGCAAATCATCTGAGGTCAGGAGTTCGAGACCAACCTGGCCAACATGCTGAAACCCTATCTCTATTAAAAATACAAAAATTAGCCAGGCATCATGGCAGGCACCTGCAATCCCAGCTACTGGAGAGGCTGAGGCAGGAGAATCGCTTGAACCTGTGAGGTGGAGGGTGCAAAGAGCCAAGATCGCGCCATTGCACTCCAGCCTAGGTGACGAGCGAAACTCTCTCTCAATAATAATAATCATCATCATAATTGGTTCACTGAGCCACAGGTCTCCATCCACCAGAAGATTATATATGCCAACAAGTGGCTTGATGTCACTAGACCAGTCCTCTTGTATCACTCTATTGATGCAACCTAAGTCAAACTATGGGATAATATTCCATTATCCACGATCTTCCTTCTAAAAGAAGCTGGAACACAGATTTGGAGAATTTTCATTTATTTTTATGATCAAAAGCTCAGTAAATTATCTTGATAGCTAGAGTCCAATCTTCTGACCCCATCAATCTAGTCTGAGGTCTTACCCTCCTCTAGTCACAACTCTTTTGTAAAAGAGGTAAATCACCAGTTAACCAGGACAACTAAGATAGTGAATCCAAATGATACAGCTTTTGTCATCAAAATAACTGTCTAATAAGATGATTAAAAAAGAGAAAATAAAAAGAGAGAAAAATAAGGGGCAAAGTGATTCAATCCCACCATGTATCTTTCTCCTAACTCCAACTATTTTTCTGCTTCCTACAAGCTTCACAGTAATTGCAGGCATATGCCTCCTGGTTAGTGCCCAAGAATTAAAAACTGATCACACACATGACAGAGAATTCACAGCTAGAGCCACAGGTTCCAGTTCACCACACTAGCAACCTACTGACACATAACACTAATTTCTGCTGAGGAATCTGCTCATAAGATGAGGAAAGAATGAAGACCAAAAAAAAAGAGGTGAGCTAGGGATAGGGTGAAAAAGGAGAAGCAACTCCATTCTTCCCATGAGATAATAATAGGCAAATGATCACTTAGCCTGAGCCCATTCCTCACATCCAAAGGGTAGATCTTGTTCTTCCCAAGCAGTCCCTTGGGAAGGTTCAAATAAAAGAAGCCATCTCCTATCTGATTCACAAGCTACTAAACCTGACCTAGGTCCTCTGCAGGGTCAAAATACCCCAAAGCAATCAGGTCAGCTTTAGAATAGCTAGTACTTAAGAACTGTACTTGACACTTGAGGAAGCTGCATCAAAAATAAACTACTGTTACTCTAACAAAATTTAACCTGGAATAGGGAAAACAGGACCAAGCCTCTGATACCCAGTAAAAGATGTATGACACTAAGAAATACTGAGCAACAAATGCTATTAAAGAAAGATAGTTATAATTATTAATATACTTTGTGGGAAAGAACCTTCTCTCCCACAAGTTATATTAAAATCTCTTAAATGACTGCTATCAGGTGGTATTAGCCCAAAATGACCTCAGGGAGAAGCGGCTTTGAAAAAGTACAATACAAGCTAGACAAGAGAAAGGGAGGGAAGATAGATTCATTCGCCTTTCATGGCCTTCCTATCTGTGACTTGGAATATGACAACAGTCATAGAATACAAAATGAGGAAGACTCAAATGGAAATACATCATCTTAAGACTTTTTGATCCAGAAAGTTAATGATAAAGAAAGAAACCATTTTGAGAAAGGCTGTCACAGATGCTTATGGAAAAATGCTAACACCTTGAAAGAGGCTATAGACACAGAGACTTATCTGACTACAATTTAGCATCAGAGAGGTCAGTGACAATGAATCCAAAAAATCCAGAAGAAAGAATTAACAGAATCCCTAATTTCTTGACAGGCCAGGTGTGAGAAATAAAGCTGTTCAAAGAGGGCCAAAGAGGATTCTATAATTAAATCACAGCTAACAAAACAAGAATGGCCCTGTAATCTGATCCGTATTAAGGTTTCTCAAGTACTGGCAAATCACTGATCTCAAATCTGGAATTCCCTGTTAACATCCCAGCAACAGCTTTCGCTTTTTAATTCCTTCCCAACCCCCCCCCTTTTGTTTTATTTTAAAGTAAAAATGGTGTTTTCTGATAGACCAATGAACTCTGATCTAGATTTCAGTTCTTATCGCACATTACTATAATGTGTCTGCCCAAAACATTATTACTTTAGTTTTTAAAAGTTTAGTTTACATCTCCTAGTATGTTTGCTGAGTTCTATTTACAACGAACATGTTTGAAAATACCCTGTAATTCGTGCTGTGAAGGAAACTAAACAGGCATGTTTTGCTTTAAGGTAAAAAAGATAGAGATAGAGATAGAGAGAGAGAGAGAGAGAGAGAGAGAGAGAGAGAGAGAGAGAGAGAGAGAGAAAGAGAGATAGGAACAAGTTCCTCAAGCCAACTTACAAATCCTCCTTTTCTTAGACAGGAATCGCCCGGGGATGAGCTCAACACATACTCCACCATGCTAACGCCTAGTCCCCCACTCTCCGATCGTGGGGACAGTACAGAATTGACCTCACTGTTCACATGGAAACTCTGACCAGGTCTTCTCTGCACCATGATTGGCTGGGAAACTGAATGATCTACAAAAAAGATACACAAGCATGATACAGTGCAGCCAGAGGCTCAAACAAATTATGAGTGATGTCTCATGGATAAACCAATGGAATCAGGAAACTTGCCATGGTCAGTTGAGCCAAAACCTCCTATTGTGTCTTTCACTGTATGATATTCAACATAAGCTAAGGAAATGGAACACACCCCTCATTTATCCAGGATAGCAGAAGAATACAACCGTTTATCTAACTTATCTGGTTTGTCTAGCTGAGTGGATAAAATGTTTACCCCTTTATAAGTAAAAGGATTTCTTTTTAATCTATTTTATTGATAATATTACTAAAACAAAATACAATTTTACTGCCCTTTTTTAAAACAACAACATAATTTGTTCTTTTCTGATAATTCACTGTCATCATGAGGTTCTATGCTTACATTGTGCTGTAACATACCACACTGGCTTTTGGGTTTTCTGTCTCCTTCTTCCCTATCACCTGTAACTTTTTCTACTTTTTCTGCTGTCAGTGTGTCTGCCTCTGTAAGTTCTCCCCATCCCTCTTCAGGGGTAGTCTGCCAGAAGAATGTCCATGCCCAGTGACTTGATTTGGTCCCAATCACGTTTAAAGATAGATCATTCTATACACAGTACACAAGGGCAAGGGGAAAAAAAGAAACATGAACTTCAAATGGCAGGTGTGGATTTTCTAATTCCAAGTATGCTGACAGCAGTACAGAACAAAACATTATAGCTGAAATTATGGTCATTTCAAATAAGACCATTCCCCTGTGGCTAGCACTTCAGAAAATATTGATTTGATTTTGTGTTAATTATGTTTTAATAAATTACATCATATAAAGCTCCTTAATGGCAATTACACTACAGGAGAGGACACTGCTTGACATGCTTATGTCACTGATGTAAAATTCATGACTTGCCAATTGCTGAGGAAAGGAGCTCTAAGACAGGCATAAATCACAGTACAGATGCTAGATCTAGATTACCTGATGTTCCCCAGGCACTGTCTCGCCATTGATCACCCAGGAATATTCCTTTTGGTCCATCTTTGCTGGATTCATCTGTTTCCCAAAACTTTTTACCTGGCAAGAGCTGCTGCAAATTAAAAATAATAGATGCTTTTAAAGAATTCATAAAGGATGAAAGTACAGCAGTCAACACTTTCTTTTAGACAAGGGTACTGAAGATGCTCACATGCCCTGAAGGTCTTTAATTAAAGTGTTCTGACTACACAACTGTGGTCAGAGAACTACTATATATTTGGTAAAAGTCACAGAGAGGCCTAAGGCAAGGTGGGGGGTGGGGATGGGGACACTGATCTAACTATCCAATAGAAGTTCAACTTAAATCTAGAATTACTCACTTAACCCATGTCAAGATTTTTAAGGAGGAGGGAAGGGAACTAATAATGACCCCACTAGCTAACTGCTAAGTGGACTCTTACTGAAAAAGAATATCTACAACTATTAAAACACTTCTCTCTATATGTGTACTAACTACCATAGTTACTTGAGCTGGAGCATGAACCCAGCTATGAACCTCAGCTATGGAATGCCAGAGGCAAAACTCACTTCTTTTATACACAGAGATTCCATTAACCAAAACACTTCCCAATCACAACTTTAACCTATTCCAAGATTTTGAAAGGACAGAAAAGCTATTCCCTCAGTACTAAAAGGGAAAAAAAAATCCCCTAACCTCCATTAATTTTTTTAACAATACTTGGTAATACCATAATAACTTCACAAATCATTCCATGCTTCAGAGAAAACAGGGATCAGTGGCCCTAAGCCAACATGAGAAGTTTATACTAGCTTCAATAAAAAAATGCAAAGTACCCTTCAAGCAAGACACAGTACGGTTTTGCACAAGATCAAAGCACTAGTGACCAGGCTTACAAAGTAAAATTCCACAGAACTCTATCATTCTTGGTTCTGGTTGTCAGCTTTACTCACTAAAATGCCTCCGCTTATTTCCTCTAATCATGTTTTCAACTGCTATTACACAGGAAACTAAGAAGTCTGAGATAGTATTTAATCACCATTTTTGAGCACAAAAAATATCTGGACAGTTGAATTTCTCAGAGGAACACAATAAAAAACCAGAAAGCACAAAACATTTCCTCTCCTTAACAATAAAGGTTTAACATGCCCATTTAACCCATAACCCAATAATAATGGAAATATATTTATACTCTGCTCTCACTAAAATAAATCTCCACTTCCCAAATCTAATTTCTGGGTCAGTTGGCATAATTTTCATCTACCTGGAAGAGGCTCTATAATCCGTCTCAGGTACATAGGTTACTGCCTGAACCAAAGCCGTTTCCCATACACTTTGCTCTTCAGGACCTAACATATTGTTTACTAATTAAACAAGATCAGGACAAAAACACATTTTGGTCTGCACAGATACCCAAGTTTCCTTGAACATGAACAGTTATAAGCAGCAGTCTTCCTGGTATATTGCTTGCTACCTTAAGGGCACTTGCGGGGAGGGCAGGGATCACAGTACTACGGGAAAAAGCCCAGATCAATGCTAAGCATGAGGGTCGGGAAGCACTAAACTGGACAACTTTGAAGTGCCCTAAGAAATCTTACTGAACTGCCCTGGGCCTCACTCCTTTTATTGATGAAGGAAATATCGTTCAAGTTGCTGTGATGACTAAAAATATTGTTGATGAGTGCCTAGCACAACAGGTTCTCAATAAATTTATTCAAAAAACATCACATCTAGGCAAAATAGCTGTCAAATCAGGTCACAGAGGGGATACTGAAAATTAATGTAAACTATGCAAAGGACAATTCAAGAATTATTTTTAAACTTATTTTTCTCCTTTTGGTCTCAAAAATCTCCTGTCTGAAAATTACAAATAAAATTTCTTTCCCCATTGGTTGTACCCTTTCTACAACTAAAACTCTGATTTTTTTTCTCTTGTACTTTGTGGAAAGCAAGAACAACTACTCTTTTGTATTCCAGAAGAAAGAATGTCACCACAAGGAGGGCCTCACTTGTTTCATGCTCCACATAATAGTGCAAAGAGCACCAAGGGGATCAAAATTATTCTTGTCCTTTAAATATTTTAATTAAAAGTTAATTCTTTACAAAAACTTGTAAATTTTGAGTTTTAAATAAACTCAAGGAACAGGGCCCCGAGTGGTGGCTCAATCCTGTAATCCCAGCACTTTGGGAGGCCGAGGCAGGCAGATCACCTGAGGTCAGGAGTTCAAGATTAGCCTGGCCAACATGGTGAGACCCTGTCTCTACTAAAAAGCACAAAAATTAGCTGGGTGTGGTGGTGCACACCTGTAGTCCCAGGTACTCAGGAGGCTAAGGCACAAGAATCACTTGAACCAGGAAGGCAGAGGTTGCAGTGAGCCAAGATCATGCCACCACACTCCATGCTGGGTGACAGAGTGAGACTCTGTATCCAAAAAAATAAAAATAAATAAAAACCCTCAAGGAATAGTTTCCAAAAAAGTACCAGCCTCCATATGCAAATATAGTCTTGTCCATAATTCATATAATTGCTTAGAGAAAGCAGCAGCCTTTCAGCTCAAAGCTTCAAAACTCAGTTCCGGGATCCTGTCACCTTTCATGATAGTGTACCAGGTTTTCATAATATGAAAAGCAGGTGAACGCATAAGCAAGTCTATTTTCTGAGTAAATTCTCTCAAAAGGAAACAGCAATACAGCAAACATGAAGCAAAGTGCTATCAGGCTGGTGCAAAAGTAATCGAAGTTTTTGCCACTACGGCAAAGAAAGAAGAAAGCAAAAGACTAAACCAAGGTACTTGGGCAAAGACAGAAGCAAAATTAGCAAAGCTATTAAGTCTCTGGATCTACTTAGTCTTTCTCCCTTTCCTCCAAAATATATGCATCTACATTCAACTGCTCAGTTAGCAGCATCTGAAATGACTATTAATGATCTTCACTTACAAGTATTCATGCCCTGATGTAATCCCCTTCCCCTGACTGTGGGCTAGACCTATAACATGCCTCTAAGAAATAACATTAAGACAAGTCATGGGATGTTACTTTCAAGATGTTAAAAAGCTGTGATTTTCATCTTGCTTGTCCTCTTTTATCTATTGCCCTGATTGCTTACTCTGATGATGACTGCTGCTATGTTATGAGCTGCCCTATAGAGAGGCCATATGAAGCCAAGAGAGAGACATCTCTGGACAACAGCTACACTTTCAAAGCTATTGCTCCCCAGCTTCCTACTGAACCCTGCCTCTGCCCTGAATCATTTACACCCAATTAGGGACTGAGGTCCAACAACCTATGAGGAATGGATCCTGACATCAACCACAAGAGTGAGCTTGGAAACAGACCTTTCCCCAATCAAGCTTTGAGACGCATGTAGCCACAGTTGAAATCATGACTGTAGCTTATGAAGGACCCTGAAGCAGAGGACTAAGCAAAGCCATGCATGGGTTCCTGACCTATAGAAACTGCGAGGCTTAAACAATTGTCTTGTTTTAGGCAGGGCATGGTGGCTCATATCTGTAATCCCAGGACTTTGCAAGGCTAAGGCCCGGAGTCTAAGACCAGCCTCAGCAACAAACACAGCAAGACTTTAGATTTACAAAGACTTTTTAATAATTAGTCAGCCAGCAGTGGTGGCACACACACGTAGTCCCAGCTACTTAGAAGGTTGAGGTGGGAGGAATGCGTGAGCCCAGAAGTTTGAAGCTGCAGTGAGCTCTGATTACACTACTACACTCCTGCCACACACACACACAGTTGTTCCTGCCTGGGCAACAGAGTGAGACCCTATCTCTTATTTACACACATACACACACACACACACACACACACACACAGCCCCTCTGTTGTTTTAAGCCACTAAATTTTAGAGTGATTTGTTAAGCAGCAATAACTAACACTGTTGTGAATATGTGGAAGTGTTTTTTGTATATGTGAAACACTTCTTCAGGAGTTTGTTTTCTAAACACACTTCTTGTTCCATTTCTAATATTTAAATGTTAGTGATGAAAGTAAAATCTTTTTGAATTTGGAAGAAAGTAATTACCTCTGTTCCACTGTATGTTTTCCCCAAATCTGTCGTATATAGCCCTCTGTATTAAAAAAAAAGGCTAGTTTTAACACTGCAAAATTAATCAATTTAGACATGTTGAGCCTACTGACAATTAACAGCAATCACTTGTATTCAAAGATACCTAACTGTTCAACCTTACCTAACTGTTCAAATCTGATCATATTAAAAGGAGTTAGAAACTACTGAATTATAAAACCAAGTGATAATGTGTTACCCAAGTACAATTTCAAATTCAACAATAATCCCTCTGGAGGTAACAGCATCCTCAGCATCGGCTAAAATATCCTAGTTTCCCAACCAACCCACTGACATAAATACCAGCAGTTACCAAATCTTCACTTAACACATAATCACCAAAAATGTAAATGCATCCAGCCTATGAAAAGATAGTTCCTATTCACCCCATCAAGAATTTGGAAACACAAACTGGTTTTTTTGACAAGGCGAAAAGCAACAGATCACAGAAGATGCACAAAGTTTGTTTTAAAGAATGATTTGGCAGTAAGAGGATTAAACGATTTGACAATTCCAAAAGAAGATGGCAGGAATTAGGAACTGGTCCAACAAAAGCAAAGGAGCCCCACAGAGTCAGATGTAGCCAGTATTATCCAGTCGACATGTTTAAGGGCAGGGCACTCGATGCACAAAGAAGCCTATCCTTATCAAAGCAATTAATGCATCTGGTTAGATAGTAGCTTAGTTACAGGAGACACTAAAAACACCCAAGTAATCTCCCTGGCTCCAACTGTGCTTACCAAGCCGCCTTCTTAGAGGAATTGGCTTCCTCGTACAGCCAACCATGCTAATCACCAAACGCAACTATCCTTGTCCATCTAAGAATCGTTTTTGCTCCTTAAAAAAAAAAAAATCAGTAGACTGCATTTTGGTTTTCATACATTAGTCTCTTGTTGTCCTGGTTAGTGTGGGGTCAATATCATAACCCAATCATCTGTATTAGTAATGAAAGTCCATTTCAAGATCCAGGAATGGAGAACCAAGACTTGGGGAGTCCTATCATCCCCAGCAATAC